GTTTACAGAGAATGGTCCGGAAAAGAAAAAACATCCAGTGAGTGGCAGTTCTGTGGGCGGAAATGCCTTGTTGATGCCAGAGGTCAGAGGAGAATTGCCAGACTGGTTCGAGCTGATAGAAGGGCAACAGTGACTCAAATAACCACCCGTTACAACCAAGGTGGGCAGAAGAGCATCTCTGAACGCACAGTACGTCGAACTGTCAGGCAGATGGGCTACAGCAGCAGAAGGCCACACCGGGTGCCACTCCTTTCAGCTAAGAACAGGAAACTGAGGCTACAATTTGCACAAGCTCATCGAAATTGGACAATAGTAGATTGGAAAATCGTTGCCTGGTCTGATGAGTCTCGATTTCTGCTGCGACATTCGGATGGTAGGGTCAGAATTTGGCGTCTTCAACATGAAAGCATGGATCCATCCTGCCTTGTATCAACGGTTCAGGCTGCTGGTGGTGGTGTCATGGTGTGGGGAATATTTTCTTGGCACTCTTTGGGCCCCTTGGTACCAATTGAGCATCGTTGCAACGCCACAGCCTACCTGAGTATTGTTGCTGACCATGTCCATCCCTTTATGACCACAATGTACCCAACTTCTGATGGCTACTTTCAGCAGGATAATGCGCCATGTCATAAAGCTGGAATCATCTCAGACTGGTTTCTTGAACATGACAATGAGTTCACTGTACTCAAATGGCCTCCACAGTCACCAGATCTCAATCCAATAGAGCATCTTTGGGATGTGGTGGAACGGGAGATTCGCATCATGGATGTGCAGCCGACAAATCTGCGGCAACTGTGTGATGCCATCATGTCAATATGGACCAAACTCCCTGAGGAATGCTTCCAGCACCTTGTTGAATCTATGCCACGAAGAATTGAGGAAGTTCTGAAGGCAAAAGGGGGTCCAACCCGTTACTAGCATGGGGTACCTAATAAAGTGGCCGGTGAGTGTATATATATATATATATATATATACAAAAAAGGCCTTAACTCAAAATGCTAATTATTTTCATCATTGTAAAACATTGTTGTAAGCAGTAGTCTAGTTAAAAAAAAATGAAGGGGGATGGTGGAATTCTTTATTTATTTATTTTTTTTAAGCACTACTCATAGCATGGTTGTTACATGTCAGGTACGTCGTTCATTGACCATCAACAACCTGCCATCAACGCTTTTGTTTATAGATGTTGGAAATCGGCCTGTTTTTCAGTGTAGTCCTGTTTCTCTGATTGTGACTAACTGGCTGTGTTCTCTTCATCCTCTGACATGGGAGCTGGCTCGGAGCTCGTCTGCCTGGCTGTGTGTTTCCTGGACAGGGCCACCTTTTACAGTTGCTTTCTGTATCTCTGCTTCTGTCTACTTGAACCCCAGTCGGCCTCACGCTGAGCCTGGTTCTGATGGAGGTTTCTTCCTGTTAAAAGGGAGTTTTTCCTCTCCACTGTCGCTGCAAGCATGCTTAGTGTGAGGGATTGCATTCAAGTCAATGAGTTGATGCAATTAGCTGGTTTTCCTGATTTTTACGATTTTTAAGGGGTGATGCCATCCTCCCTCATCCACCCTAAACTTGAGCATTGGATGTAAGTTCATATAGGTTTTCATATCTAATGCAGGATTTATCTGCTGTGTGTTTTTAATGGAGCGGGCGGGGCAGATATGCTAACCTAATTGTGCAGAATTATCAGTGGGTGACCTGAAGCCAAGCGTGAGGCTGCTGAGCAGCTTTAACCTCCACAGATATAACAGGTGTGTGTCTCTGTGTTCTTGTTTATCCTGCGGAGAGATGATCCTCTGAAATTCTTAACCGACGAAGCGGGAACATTTTCCAGGTTCTGTTTTTCCTTTTCCTTTTTTTGTGTTAGGTTTAGGACTAAGATGTGAATTAAGTGTAAGAAGACCAACTGGATTTATTTGGATCCGGTTCTGATGTGGTGGAACTCAATCGTTAGAATGACTAGTAGTAAATACAAAGTAGGGACTATTGTAGAAATAAAGGCATTGTCTCTCTCTTTCTGTGTGTGTGGATGAGGCCTCAGGATATAACAGGTGGTGGAGCTGAGCCAATCAGAGCAGAACTTCTCACAGTCCTGCATTCAGACCAGACGCCTATTTAAACCTTTCCACATGTCAGCCTCGCTGAGGGGCATTAATAACCTGTTCATGTAAAATATTCACACCCCTCAAACTTTCCAACAGCTTTTTGTAATCAGGAATTAGGGACAGAAACCCAAACTGTTGCTTAACATTGAAGGTAATTCATAAATGGTTTTTATATTTTTCTGGATTACTTGTTAAATCCATGTACTGCTTATCAGTAAACATCATCCTGCTGTATTCAATTCAGTCACCAATCCACAGTGTCAGCATTCTTTAAGTCTGCCTCCATCATTTCGGTCGTAAAGATGCCTCAAATCACTTCATTTAATGATTACTGGCCTGTCGCACTCCATGTCTGACTCCCATCATGATAAAGTTCTTCAAAAGGCTGGTTAAAGAACACATCGTCTCCAGTCTGCCACCAACATTCGACCCGTCCCAGTTCGCCTACAGACACAACCGCTCCACTGAGGACGCCATCCCTGCTGCTCTCCACCTGAGCCTCGCCCACCTGGAGGAGAAGAACACCCACGTCCGGATGCTGTTCCTGGACTTCAGTTCAGTTTCAACACCATCATCCCACAGAGTCTGATGGGCAAACTGGAACAGCTGGGATTTAATACACCCCTCTGCTATTGGCTGCTAGACTTCCTCACAGAGAGACCTCAGTCAGTCCGGGTTGGACAGAACACCTCTGATGTCATCATCCTGAGCACAGGCTCCCCTCAGGGCGGCGTCCTAAACCCTCCTGTTCAACCTGATGACACATGACTGCGCCCCCAGGTTCACCACCAATCACATCGTGAAGTTTGTAGACGACACCACGGTGGTGGGCCTCATTAGAGACGACAACGACCTGGACTGCAGAGAGGAGGTGGAGCAGCTGGTGGACTGGTGCAAAGATAACAGCCTGATCCTCAACGTGGAGAAGATGAAGGAGATCATCTTGGACTTCAGGAAGAACTGGCCTAACCACGCTCCACTGGTCATCAACAGCTCAGCTGTAGAGGTGGTCAACAGCACCAAATTCCTGGGGGTGAACATCACAGACACCCTCACCTGGAATGTAAACACCACCTCACTGGTCAAAAGGGCACAAAGCACTTGTACTTCCTGCTGAGAGCCCACCTGTCCCCAACCATCCTCCCCACCTTCTACAGAAGCACCATAGAGAGCGTTCTGACCAGCTGTCTCACTGTGTGGTGTGGAGGCTGCAGCGCCTCAGACTGGAAGAAGGTGAGGAGAGTGGTGAGAACAGCAGAGAAGATCATCAGGGATCCTCTTCCCTCCATAAAAGACATTTCATCCCAGCACTGTGTGTCCTGAGCCCGTAACATCATCAGTGACCGCTCACCCCCCCCACCATGGACTGTTCTCTCTGCTGCCCTCTGGGAAGAAGCTTCGAAGCATTTTATGCAGGACCAGCAGGTTCTGTAACAGCATTTTCCCTGCTGCAATCAGACTGTTGAACTGTTGAGAAAACTCTTATGAAGTCAAAAATTGAGACTCTGCATTACACTCAAAAAAATCATACTTCCACTACATGGTGAATCTTCAAAATAGAACTCAAACCCAGGTTTCTACTGCATTTTGCACCATATCTCTTAGCGGGGCTCATCCTGTCTGCCTCACATGTCAGACTTTAATCTGCTGTTTAGAGGATCTTCCTGGGAAATGTGATGTCATTACAAACTTCTGTCTTTCTTCACCCAGTTTTTGTGTCATCTGAGGTGTAAAAGCAACATGGCTGGAAAAACTCCTATATTCACGTCTTGCTGTTACCAGACTTGCTTGAGTAAAAAACTCAGCCAGCCGAGTCAAAACAACCACAAGACAGAAAATATAAAGTGTTTGCCTCTGTAGTTAAAGCAGTTGCTGTTGAAATGGTGGCATAAATAAAAGTAAATCTTAAATATCAAAAGATTGGTTTTCAGAAGCTCTCACCGATGATTAACATAACGAAATTAACATAATGTTAAATTTTACACTTTTTCCCTGCTGCCATCAGTCTTGCACATCTTTTGCATCTCTATATATGCAAAAGAAGTGCATATATAGAGATGCACTGTTAAACACCTAAACACGCTGAAACTGAGCTGAACTGGACCAATCACAGAGCCTGTGCACGACAAAAGACTCCAGCAACCCAGAGGAACAAGGGGCAGCTCTTTGATTAGCATCTGACCATGAACATGTGCAGGATGATGGCCTGTTTTGTGGTAACCATACTTGCTTTGTGCTGTTTTTAGTTCGTATGAGTTTTCTTTGAAAAGAGCAGATTGAGATGCTAAAAGATGCTGGACACAAAATAAAAACTCCTTAACGGTAAAGGCAAACTGATTGAAATGAAAAGTAAATATCTGCGATCAGCTATTTTAACCCCAACTTTACTCAATTTAAACAGGAAGGTCCTGGGAATGAGCTCTTTCAGCAAACAGACATGTTATTTACATGAGGGTCAGAGATCACTTTATTGTTTTTATGCAGTTTAGCTGATTCTTTTTAAGCTGATCAACTTAAAAAAGGTTCAAAGCTGTTCAAAATACTGTCTGTGTGACCCTGTTTCTTTTGTTTAGTGCAGTTATTTGCTGACGAAAGGCTCTTTATCATGTGTTGAATGTTTTGTCTGGAAAAAAAGATGACGGCCAACTTAGCCCCTAGCTATTTCTTTTTATCTGTTCGGTAAAGTTAACATTTTAGGCAGCAGAGTATTGGTTGGTGGAGCTAACTTCTTAGTTAGCTTTCCCCACCACTATAAAAGAAAGTATGCTTGAGGCTCTTATTTTGAAGATCTGAGATAAGCTTTTCCTTTAAAATTATCTATTTCACCAAACAGGCTAAAACTGAAATGGATCTCCGTCTTTCCCCCTTCTGAGGGAGGCGCGGGTGTCTGTGGGAGTTTCTTACAGATGTGTAGAGGAATCCCTCGGCGTTCATGCCCACATAGAGGCCGGCCTTCACTCCCTGGATGGCCACCACCCTAAGCCCCACAGGGATCAGGTTAAACAAAGCTGCAGGAGGAAACAGAAACAGGTTCAGGCTCAGGAAGCAAAACAAAAACACAAATCAGTCCAACAAAGACACGCACTGCCTCTGTGTTTCTGCAGCTTTAAAACCATCCGCTGACGTGATGCTGCGCCTGCAGCTTATAAACGTGGTGAAACAGAATAAAAGAGCGAGGGACTGAGTGATGGGAGGCGATTTAATCTTCTGGGACTGAGAGCTGCCGTGTGGGTGAGGAGGATGAGGAGGTGGAGGAGGAAGAGGCCTGTGGCGATGCTGCTGTTAATCCTCCTTTATTTAAATCATATGATCTGAGAGAAAACCAAAACATCTCCTCCTCCTCCTCCTCCTCCTCACCCTGCTCGTCTCTGTGTCCTCCTTTTCATCTGGTTTTCAGAGGCAGCATCCAGCGTGGATCTGCTGCAGGAATGCGGCTGAAAACACCCAACCACGTTCAGAAAATTAGCCTCCAGTGCTCCTCCAGAACAATTGTTCTGTGAAACATCTAAATTCAACTTTTGTTCTGCAGAACATGTTAGAACCCTAACTCACTGTAGTCGCTGTTCTCGTCTTTGCAGCCGCTGATGGTCCCATCGGGCAGCATCTGGAGGTAGAAGCCCTGCTCGCTGTGGAGACGCGTCACGATGCCTTTCAGCTGCGGCTCTGCAAACACACACACAAAAAAAAAAACAGAGGTTCAATTCAGTTCCTGAATGTTTTATTGAAGCTTTCAGCAGCTCAGCTTGTCCTTCAGTACCATCAGATCTGATGTACTGCATCTTTCCTGCCCAGCAGCCTAACGTTCTTCTAAATTATTGGTTTATCTGCATCTAAAGCTCCTTTTGAGGTCTACTTTGGATTCCTCAAAACTCGGATTTAAGGTGGAAGCTGAACATCACCACATCGTTGATGTTTTCCTAGCATTTTTTGCTACTTAGACCATCCTGTACAGCTCATGTGATAACAAACTGGTGTAAAATATAAAGCAGCTTCAATGACCTGCTTGCACCGATGCCTGAACTGTCACCTTCTGATCCAAGTTCAGCATCCAGTCCTCTGAAGACCAAACCTGACCTAAACAGAACTTCACAGGATTTTTCCAACATATGCCTTCCTAACCTTAAGGCGGTGTTTGCAATGAAGGGAAAAAGGATCTGAATAATCAGCGTATAAAGGTATGAGTCAGCAGGAAGGTACAATAGAATCAGCAGTAGCATTTATATAGTATGTCCCAAGGCACCACATTTCTTCCACAATCAAAGAAAATTAGCAAACTGAGTCCTTCCTGAACTGATAAAAGATGAGACAGAAACGGTTCAGGGAGGCTTTAAAGAGGCCAGCAGCAACAATGAAGCAGCTCCAAGAATATCCAACAAATGCTGCTTCTGTTCAAAATGGCCCAAGAATCTTTTAATGGACCAAGTAGGAGGGTCAAAATTCCTCAGACCTTAACATCATGTAAGGAAGGGTTTGGTATCCTACTGTAGGTCCACAAAGGAGTGTAATCAGGGATCCTTCCTCCCAGCTGCAGTCGGAGATTTCAGTAACTATTCCCAGCAAACCAATAAGATGTTATATGTCTGCATCATTTAGATTGTGCTATTTATAGATCTATAACTTCTCAAATGTTCTGACAGTCTAGCCCAAAATCTCTTTGAGCGTGAAGTATCTTCAACAGGTGAAGATGCTTGAAAAGGTTTTTTTTTTATGTTACAGAAAAACAAACTGTGTCTAAAAAGACACTGCAAGAAAATTATTTTTGGATTTCAACATATCTTACGTACAAACTTGAACGTTAGAGTTCTTTTTAATTCTTTCTGGTACTATATAGAAGAGTAATGGGCTTGTATTGATATCTTACATTCTGGATATAGACCAATGTCACCAACATACATCTACCTATATATATATATTCATCTACCTATATATATATATATATATATATATATATATATATATATAGAGAGAGAGAGAGAGAGAGAGAGAGAGAGAGAGAGAGAGAGAGACCTTTTTTACGCCTATATATTTCTATGTACACTAGAAATATATAGGTCAGGTTAGTAGCAGAGGGTTGTTAATCAGTTTCAGCTGTTTTTTTTTAAATGAAATTAACAACAGGTGCACTAGAGGGGCAACAACGAGATGACCATCAAAGGAATGGTTTTACAGGTGGAGGCCACTGACATTTTTTCCTCTCCTCATCTTTTTTGACTCTTTTTCACCAGTTTTGCATTTGACTAGGGTCACTGTCACTACTGTTAGCACGAGGCCCTACCTGGACCCTACAGAGGTTGCACAGGCAGTCCAACTCCTCCAGGATGCCACATCAATACATGCCATTGCCAGAAGGTTTGCTGTGTCTCCCAGCACAATCTCAAGAGCATGGAGGAGATTCCAGGAGACAGGCAGTTACTCCAGGAGAGCTGGACAGGGCCATAGAAGGTCTACAACCCATCAGCAGGACCGGTATCTGCTCCTTTGTGCAAGGAGGATCAGGAGGAGCACTGCCAGAGCCCTACAAAATGACCTCCAGCCAGTCACTGTTGTGAATGTCTCTGACCAAACAATCAGAAACAGACTTCACGAGGGTGGCCTGAGGGCCTGCCGTGCTCTAGTGGGCCCTGTGCTCACTGCCCGGCACCGTGGAGCTCGATTGGCATTTGCCACAGAACACCGGAATTGGCAAGTCTGCCACTGGCGCCCTGTGCTTTTCACAGATGAGAGCAGGTTCACCCTGAGCACATGTGACAGACGTGAAAGGGTCTGGAGGAGCTGTGGAAAACATGATGCTGCCTGTAACATCATTCAGTATGATCGGTTTGGTGGTGGGTCAGTGATGGTCTGGGGAGGCATATCCATGGAGGGACGCACAGACCTATACAGGCTAGACAACGGCACCCGTTAGGTATCGGGATGAAATCCTTGCACCCATTATCAGGCCCTATGCTGGTGCAGGGGGTCTTGGGTTCCTCCTGGTGCACCACAATGCCCGGCCTCATGTGGCGAGAGTATGCAGGCAGTTCCTGGAGGATGAAGGAATTGATACCATTGATTGTCCCCCAAGCTCGCCTGACCTAAATCCAATAGAACACCTCTGGGACATTATGTTTCGATCCATCCGACACCGCCAGGTTGCACCTCAGACTGTCCAGGAGCTCAGTGATGCCCTGATCCAGATCTGGGAGGAGATACCCCAGGACGCCATCCGTCGTCTCATTAGGAGCATGCCCCGACGTTGTCAGGCATGCATACACACACATGGGGGCCATACAAATGACTGAATACAATTTTGAGTTGCTGCATTGAAATTTCAGCAGAATAGACTAGCCTGCCGCATCATTTTTTCACTGTAATTTTTGGGGTATCTTTGAATTCAGCCCTCTGTAGGTTGATAATTTTCATTTCCATCAAATGATGTGGCATCCTTTTATTCCTTATACATCACCCAGTCTATATCTGTATAAATAAACAGCATGATTTTTTTGCCCCATTGAGATCTGATGTGTAAAGAGTTCCTTTAATTTTTTTGACCAGTGTATATAGATATATATAGTCCAGATATATTCTAGGATTCTAACTCATAACTGCTCATCCTGAGTCAACATTTTTAAGTGTAGCAAAGAGATTCTTAGTCATATTTTAGGCCTGAACTTTGACTAGGCCACTTCAACACGTTACTCTGCTTTGATCTAAACAATCCTTTGTATCTCTGGCTGGATGTCTAGAGTGGTTTACCCTCTGAAAGGTTAACCTTGCTTCATCTATCTTACCATCAGCTCTTACGAGCTACTATGTCTCACAGCATGATGCTGCCACTACTATGTTTCACCTTGGAAAATGCTGGGGGTAAAAATTAACATGCTAAGTTCAAATGTTTGTGTCTATGTAAACTTTAAAAGGAAAACAAGTGAAAACATAAACCCACATCTTTCCCATTAAGTCAGGTGGATGAAAAAAACTGATAAAAAAGTTATGAAGAGAAAAGAAAGATATCGTAAAACAGTGCAACCAACTTCCAGCCCTAAGGATAGCTTCCCCAGTGGTCAGAGGTTTAAACCGCCTCCGTCTCTGACTGATCTGTAACCAGACAGGTGGTTCCCCTGATGTTAGGGTGACACATGGACCGAGCCCCTCCTGGACCCTCTCAGGATGTAAACAGATGACAATGTGGGCCAGAAGGACTCAAATAGACCAGAAGACACAGAGCTGAATATGGAGCAGGCTGCTGTGCCACTTAAACCTCCACCAAGGTAAGAAGAAACTGCTTCCTCGTCTTTCCAACAAAAACCTAAAAAAAGTCAGAACCAAACACCTCTGGCCTGCAGCCTCTGACCAGAACATTGATGTTTTAATTTGAGGCTGCAAACAGGAAGAAACCTCACTTGTAGAAGGAAACAGTCAGTAAGCTGCAGAACTAGTGTTGCACCTTCAGACACTACTTTTCAACTTATTTTTTTGGATTTAAGCACCCTAAGCTGGCTCTCTGCATAGAAAAGTAGCAGAACAATTTAGTTGCAGAATTTTTGCTGACATGAATCATCTGTAAGATGCTCACCCTGATTAATAACACCACCTCATCCAGAGGTGTTTTCTCTGAGCACTGCTATATTTATACATGTGCTTCACACTTCCTGAGTTTAACAACGAAAGAGCGAAGAAGAAGAAGAAACACCCCATCACCAGATCATACGTCACTGAGTTGAACTGGACTGCGCCCCTCCAACCACATTACAGCCCGGTTCCACCTCTCCTCAGCCGGAGCAGCTGCCCCATAGCGGGCTCCTGGACAGCAACCGGTTTCATTAACCCTGATAACCGTCTGTCCGTCCATCCATCCGCAGCATTAAGTAAATCCAGAACTATTAATAATAGAGTGAGAACCCGCTGAACAGCCCCGGTTATATAACTCTCCAGTATCTAACTTCCAAACCACGTGAACTCAAACTAGAGCCAGACAGTGAGGAATTCGTGGCTTTGACATCTTGTTAATATCTGCAGCCGGCTGTCAAACATCTTCAGATGTTTGAACACTGAGCTGGAGGCAGCAAAGTACAAAACGTGTCCTGAGAACCTGCAGCCTGGAGAGGTGGAATAATGAGAAGCTAGAGCTGCTCTCCCAGCAGAGATCTCAGCATGACCAGTTCATGCTCTGGTATGCTCCAATTTAACCCTTTTATATGAAGGGAATTTATTTTCATTCTTGTTGCAAGCAATATGGAAATTTAGAAAATGCAATTTAGAACTTGCGTTTTGTCTTAAACTTTGCTTTTTTCTTTAGAATCCTTTTTTTCCCCACTTTTTTCTAACTTTATATTTTCAGTTTTTATTTATTTCTCTATTTCCAAATTGAATTTAAAAAATTGCATCAAATTCTGATAACTTCAAGCCCAATACAAAGACTGGACATTAGGGGTGTAAATAATAATCGTTTTGTATCGATGCATCGATCCAACAGCCGACGATCCGATGCATCAATACGTCCGCAAGAGAATCGATTCATGTTTTTTATTTTCCTCAGTTCTATTTTTATCCATTTGCTCCTGGACGTAATTCTCCCTCCCGTGCTGCGGCGGCGCTAAACCTATTTTGCCCTCCTACCTCACTTCCTGGTTATACTCTCATAGCAGTGTGTTGCAGCAAGCTTGACACAGAAGTGTTTCTAT